TTTTTTTTTTTTTTTTTTTTAAATGAGCACAAAAAGTAAACATCAGCATTCAAAGCAGCACAGGACCATAACATTACCAAAACTGTGATGTGAACCTGAACGCGCAGTATTAAACCTGGTTCCACTTGTAGCGGAAGAGAGAGAATTAGACAAGTAAAAGAGAACTACAGTAAAAGCTCTGTTATCCGGCATACCCTGGGAATGGGGGATGCCAGTTAATCAGATATTCCGGTTAATCAAATGTGTACCATCTGGTGCACTCCCCCCGCGTCAGTGTGCTGGGGGACAGGGAGGGGGGCCCTGCACAGGCTACTTTGCCCTGGGCTGTGGGCCGAAGAAGTGGCAAGAACTCTGCTTGCAGCGGTGGCGAAACCCGGAAGTGGTACTTCTGGTTTCACCTTTGCTGCGTCCCTCAAATGCCGGTTAATAGAGTTTTTTGGCTAATAAAGTGCCGGTTAACACAGCTTTTGCTGTATATAGTTTAAAAAAAAAAAGTGGATACAAACTTGAATGGTTAGCCTAATGAAGTCAAGTAAAACATTAAAAACTGCCTAAACCAATCACATTATTTGCTGAAAATTACAATGAAACTGCATATGGAAAAAATAACTCTCTACCTCCCAAACTCAAAGTATTCACAATAATCAAATGGATAAAGATTTATCTTGTTAGTCACTCCACTCTTACCGCTCTAAATGTGAAACAACTTTCATGGTGACCTCTGGTGGTAAGTGGACTTTTCTGTAAAATAGTATTGTTTTATTTTTTTTAACTGAATGACTGAAATAAACCTCTGAGCTCATGATTAACTTATTCAACAATTATTGTCTTAATCTATAAATAATTTAATAAAAGAAATCAAAGTATACAAAGAAATAATCCAAGATTTTTATTTACTTGTCTGTGTTTTATGTCACCTCAGCATATGCCCACTCCCTCAATTTTGGCCAGAAGCACCAGGCTTTTGCAGAGCCAAAAAACAGTACTGCTAATCTCTTCAATGACTGGTGCAAATCTCAGTCCCTCATTTGGATGTATAGGTCATCTCTTTTTATGCATTTTTCAAAAATACTTTAAATGTATAGACCTAAGGCACGTTTACATGAGATGCTGACTGTGCAAGTAGCGCGTCACAGCACGGACAGTTCTAATACACTACTGCACAGTATTATTAGGCTACTGTGCAGTAGCATCACCTAAAAGACATTTGCCAGTGCTACTACTCAGTAACTCGAGTTACTGCACATTTATTTAGTGCTTGCTAATACAAGTATTAAATAAATTGTGGAGTAATGACTGCACAGTAGCATCTTGCGTAGAGCCCTATAGTCTAAAATTACCTTTCTACCCAAACATCCTTCCATGTAATTTGTCATTGCTGACACCACCTTGATCCTTCCAAATGCTCAGACTTACAATCTCTGACAATATAACCCCCTTTTTTCTTTCTTTCTGCCTTCCAATCCTGGTCCTTGCCTCCTCAATACTCACTCAAATTCATTTCCCCACCTCCGCCCACTTCCAGCAAGTTTCAGTTTAAATACTAATTTTTCAATACATTAACTGATACTCACTAGTTGACCCAAAAAGGCATTAAATACAATTATTTCCCTATCTTGCTACTATGAACATGTTTCTTCCTGAATCTGAACTGACTTCACTTTTTCTTCCATATATATTTCAGTCTTCTACTTTCAAAATTGTCAATAACTCCCTTTCAAACCCCATTCATCTTTTCTCTCTACATGTACACTCATCCTTCTTAGCATACTCAAATATCTCTTACAGCAAATATTTGTCTCCTTTGCCTTCTGAAGACTTTGCACTTTCTTTCACATCTCCCCTTGTGTCTTAAAACAGCATGAATCAGCCTCAGAAATTGAGAAGAGACACACCACTATCTCTCTTAAACTCAGCAAGCTTGTTAGTACTGCCAAACAGTACTTTGTAAAAAAAAAAAAAGACTCCATTCTGATCTTTCCAAAGCTTGAATACTACAGCAAGAAGAAAGGAACTTAAACCCCAAATCTGGAATAACTAGCCCCTATTGGTTACTCCAATAGAGTGGCATGTTAGGCACACTGACAGTAACAGAGGATAAGACTGGATCACATCAGTAGTGCCAGCCAACATGCACTGGAGCACCTCTAAAGCTATTCCAAACTATGTTGGGGATGGAATGGGAATACAAATAGGTCTGAGTGAGAAGTCAAAAAAACCCTGTTCTGCAGCATCTCCTTCAGTTAAGTTCAGCATACACTGATCACAGGTGTAGACTTAGTCTGCATATGTACATATAAAATATACCAAATGTTAATGTTTTGTTGTACATATTATTAAAAATATAAAAAATATTCTACTCTTTTGGTAGTATTACAATGCAGAGAGGCCAGCAAGGGAACAGAGATCTGCAGGAGATGGGAACACAGAAGAAAGAATAAAGAAGTAGGTTTACAACCAAAAGTAAAGTAGGGGGAAAAATGCAGCAATTCATTTGGTTTGACTTCTCGCATAAATGAAAACATTATTTTCACAGCAGATATTTAAAAATATATTTTATCCACACTAGATGTCAACATCAATATTCCACGATAGCTAAAATATCATCCCAACAAAAAGACTTAGCTATGAAAAAAGTGGGCAGGTTGATTAGGTGCTGAGCCACTTACTGCTAAAAAACTAATCACACTTCAAAATCTTGATGGGCTCAAGATTATAGTAAGCTTGTATCAACTTATTTGCAGGACTGTAAGTTTTGCTAACAAAATTAAAAGTAGATGTGGTATCCTTTTGTTGGTATTGAGACTGATTCTACCTCAATCCTATTCTATTTATTCAAGTTATTACAGTTCATCCATTATTATGGTATCTTAATGCCTGCTAGGAACAGCCAGAGGTAGGTTCAACACTTATCATGTACTTATACTGGGAATCATACATTTAGATTTCACAGACATTAGGGCTGGAAGGGACCTCGAAGACCATCAAGTCCAGCCCCCTGCCCAGGGGCAGGAAGTCAGCTAGGGTCAAAGGACCCCAGCAAGATAAATATCCAAGCGTTTCTTGAATAAGTCCAGAGTAGGTGCCTGTACCACATCTGGAGAGAGTCTATTTCAGGTCTTGGGGGCTAAGACAGTAAATCATTTTTTTTTTATGTCCAGCCAAAAACAGTCTTGTAGCAGTTTATGACCGTTGGTCCTTGTTTTTCCTTGGGGCACTCTGGTGAACAGATGTTCTCCCAGATCCTGATGAACACCCCTTGTGCACTTACAGGTTGCCACCAGGTCCCCCCTGAGCCTGTGCTTTTCCAGACTGTCATAAACAGCCTTAGAGCACAAGCCTTCTTCTAAGCCTAATCTGGCTAAACCGCTCTGCATCCCAGATATAAAGCTTCATTGTCTTTTTAGGAGCAGGGCATCAATTAATAAACTACAACTCTAAAGACAACCATCTATATTCCTGTCCCACTGCCCCTTCCTTCCTCAACCCCGCCAAATGTATTTACCTATTTGGGGCTCTCAATTACAAGATTCCTACATACTTTGATGGCTTTATATCACAAGTCAGATGTACAGACAATTTTTTAATTTCAAGATCTTATATTTAGTTAATCAGTTTCATTATTTCAGCTGTGAGGAATGCAGTCTGGGGCCCCCATACCAACAAATGTAATACTGCAATGGAGCTCACACTACATTTCCGTACATGCATACAACTGCAAGCAGAAAGGTAGCTTAATACCTTCATAATTTAACTTTTCTAGTTCTAATGGAAGAATTTTTCTTAAACTATAAGAGTTAAAATAAAGCAAAATGTTTATATGTCAGAACTAATGCTTCGAAGGTAAAACCTCATATGCTAACTGTTTAACACTTAATGGTCAATTACTAGTGCTTTCTCTTATTGGAAGAAAAAAGAAGACCATCAAAAATTAAATTCTACCTCTGTGTCAAGAAATCCAGTTGTACTCAGTGGTCTTTTTTCTTCCAGTACTACTGTAGCAGAATTTATAGCCCAATCTTTTACTAAATCTTTCTGGTTCTCGTTGACAACAGGCCTATTATAATCCTGGCTGTCATCCACTCCAAATACCTGGAAATGAAACACATTGTTACTCGGATTAACCCAATGTCTTCCTGACACAGCATTCAATTTTGATGGATGGGGGCGCCAATGCTGGCAAATTAAGTTATCTGATATCTAAGTTAATTCCACAAATCAGTAGCAAATCAAAAACATTTCCAGAAGTTTATTTTTGGGTACTTATTTTTATAAATGTAGCTTTAGGCCTCAGACATTATGTAATATCAAGAAATATACATGCTTGTATTTGCTAAATAGTATATTTAAGTATATTCTAATTAAAGTAGTACTTAATGTTTTTGTTATATTTATTTTTAGAAGAGTTACTGCTTGGTTTGTAACAAGTGCTCTCAAAGTCATTAAGGGAGACATCTTTTAGAACACCTCCTCAGTGATGTTTATATCAACCACCATTCCTCACACTGATGCAGCAAATACAGCAATTGCTTACATATGAAAATGTTAAATATGTTTTAACAAAATGTTAATGTAATGTAATTTAGTTGACGGAAACAAGGATTATCAACTTAAAGTTACTACTCAATTTTCCATGTAGTTTATAGAGGGCTCTAAATTACTTCAAAAAAAAAAAAAAAAAAGACATCTATAGGGTTTGGGAAATTAATATATTTTTTTTTAAGGTTGACAAAGACCGATGAGAAAATTCTGTTTAGAGAAATTTTACATTTACCAGTATTATTTTTGTTATTACTACGGGTACCGTGAATCATTAAAACTTGCTGCTGAGATTAACTTATTTCAGAAGATTGCTTTATCATGGAAGGAATGCAAGCAAAATAGGGAACCATCTAAACAGCTACCAGTCTTATTAAAAAAAATCACTAATGACAAAAAAAAAAAAGAAAATATACACAACATAAAGGAAGATATTTTTCTAAATGCAGTATTTTCCATAGATTGGTGCCTCTGGGTCTTTGACAACCCTTTGTCCAGTACTAATAAAGGAAGGAGGACATGTTAATTACCAAAATTATGAAGGAGAACACACTGCTTACCAAAATTCTGAACAAATGTAAAAAATACCAAAGCTATCTAATTCCAAATATCGAAGTTATCTAATTCACCACTAGAGGCCCATAGTCCATAACACTTTCTCACTGAGGCCTGTAATATTTAAAAGGACATTTTTCTTCCTTAAAAAAAAATGTAATTCCCATTTAAGGTCTAATTATGTAAAGTTACCACCTATATAGAAATTAACTGATTTATGCTGATACAAACTAAGAATTGTGCATTTGCCAATACTTGAGAACAAAGAACTGTTTTGCACTGATACTACCCATTTGCATGTAAACCACACCTAAAATTTCAAATTACAGTATTACACTTTATCTAAGCATAATTAATCTCTTGCAAGAGCTTTTTAAAATTGCAGTGCATGTCTCATGTCTCCATAATCAAGATGACATCTAGTTCCCTCTCTTGCTATCTTTGACAAGTATGATAGGTGGCAAGGAAGCACATAAACCAACCATCATCCAGCCCCTCCTCCTGCCTTTAGTTTACTCTTATGTAGGTGGCTCTTCATTCTCTCACTTCATTCACATGGACACCTCAGGTCTTCTAACATTTACATTTAAATCAGAACTGCAGGAGCATTTTGTGCAAACAAATTACTATTAACAGAATATTTACTGACTATGAGAATAAAGATCTTTACTGATGTTGCAAAGTTCTTTAACCCCTCCACACCACACCCCCTGTTCCCAGCAGCATTGGTCTCATGGATTTGAAGGTCTATTGAAGTTATATAACCTTGTCATCAGGCCTTTCCTGTTATGGGAATATTGGGTACACTAAGGTGAAATCCAGTTCTGCTTCATTCTACAAGGGCTGAAGGTAAGATGCAAAGAATATCTTCCTCTCTTTTCATATAATGAAAAGATGTATAATAAACCCATAGCCTAATGTCTCCACTAATATCCCTTCAACACAAGTAGTGAAGGCTGGACACAGCTCTAGTGTCTCGTATATTTGGGGGACTAGTACTCTAGCAGTGTGGAGGATCATATGCTAGACTTTTTCAGTAAACACAGAATGCTGTGCAGCACATTTGCCCTGTGCTACACTACACAAGCATCAAGTAACTTCTCTCCTTTAAGTGGTATTTTCTGCTGCCATCTTACAAGAATGGACCTTACAGGAGGAAGAATACAATCTAGCTCAAGACTGATTTACAGGATTAAGAGGCAAAATACATTTACAATACAGATGCCCCTGGTATTGAAAAATTATTGTTTTTATATTCTTGTTCCTCCTTCAATTCACTGAAGGGTTACCAAACTTATGAGTGGCTGTGGGACACACCATGTGCTGCTCTGCCCTTCCCCTTCCACATAGACAGCCTGTCCCAACCCCAAGCCACCACAGGCTGTGCTGCCTCACCCCACAGGAGTGGGGCAGGATGCCAAAGCTGAAGGAGGAAGGTAGAGCCTAAAGACCCTGGCACCAGCAGGAGCAGAGGGAGGAACGGTGGCCGTGCAGGATCCTACAGGCCAAGCATTAACCCCTCATGGGCCACATGCAGTCAGACAGCGCTGATTTACTGGAAAAGAAGATGACAGGCAGACATAGAAAGGTCTGTTTTCATTTCACACTTGCTCTTTTTCTTGCAACCTTGAACAGAATTGGCTTTTAATCAATTTATTAGCCAGCATTTTGGCTAGAAGTCTCCTCTGGAAGGACATGATGCTATTGTACTACTAATTGTGACATGTTTCCAAAGATTAAAAGAAAAATATTAAACAGCAGTTAAGTATGGAAGGCCAGGTTTTTGGTGAGAGCTTTCTCTTTTTAACAAATCACAGCAATGGTTGCGTTTACACAGAGAAAACAAGTTCCTTAATCATCTTAATATTGGATATCACCCTCTTTTTATTTTAACACTTCATTGCTTAGTCAATTCAAAATTGAATTGCAACCCCCACCCGGCAAAAGAGAGGCCGTCTGGGAAGGTCATTTCTATGCCAAATTTCAGTCTTCCACACCCAGCTGTTTGGCTGAAAAATCAGTTTAAAAAAATTACATACTTTTTTCTCTAATGGAAACAAAGCTTTTCTTCACCCTCCTTGCACTTATATGACTGAGCAATTTTTGCTCAAATTTATAAAAAAACCTATACTTTTTAGCAAGAATCAAGCCTGGGATATCTGAGGCAGTGGTGAATGTTTCAGAAGAAAATTATTCATTGAAAAAAGGTTTATAAGGGGAATAGTTATGTAACTATTTACAACAGTTAATCACAGCTCCCTTTGGATTGTAAGTCTTAAACATTTCTTCATCTCCTTGCTCAAACTTAATGGTCCACAGTCTCCCTCTTTTAGGCAACACCCACCCCCCCGGAATGATTATGAGGTACATTAACAAATGAAAAGTTGAGATAGCTAATTTTGTAAAATTTTGAGGGCAAACTTAATTTTTTTCTGGTGTCTTCCTTCCAAACCTCCCTGTTCTGGACCTGGAGCCCAAATGTATCTGTTTGAGTCTGCAAACATTAAATAATATTTAAAAATTCTGCAGACAACAATGGTCCTTTGTAATGAGTTAGGTTGTGCATACATTTTGGTGAACTGTATCACATATGTAATACTTTACAGCATGGCCAGGCAAAATACAGCCCGTGGGTTGGATACAGCTTGCCAGACTATTCTATCTGGCACGCAAGACCCCTAAAAAATTTAGAAAATATTTATCTGCTCCTGGCCACCTGTCAAAGTTGACAGGGGCAGTAAGACCCAGGGGGAGCCAGCAGCAGGAAGCAGGAGTCCAGCCCCACCCACTCCTAGCCATTTCATACACACGGGCAGAGAGAGAGAGAGAGTGTGTGCATGCACGCACAAAAGCAGTGTGCAGGGCCATTCCTTTGGGGCTGTGAATCAAGATGACCACCTCAGGCCCTGCACTTTGGGGGCCCCGCAGAGCTGGGTGGAATGGCCGCGGCAACTCTGTGCTGCCACCGGCTTCATGCACCTCACCTGCCACCAAATCCACCACCTCTGGCCGCTCGGCGCCTCCCAGCTCCACATCTGTTGCTGGCTTTCTTGCATGCAGGGGTGGGGCCCCGCACAGGCTGATGTGCCCCAGGTCCCACATCCTGCCTGGGTTGCCTCTGGCAGTGTGTGTGTGTGTGTGTGTGTGCGCGCGCGCGCGCATGCGTGCATAGGCAGGGGCAGTGTGTGCAGGCAGAGGCAGTGCGCATGTCCAGGCAGGGGCAGAGAGTGCGTGTGTACGTGTGTGCAGGAGGGGCAGTGTGTGTGTGTGTGTTTGTAGGGCGAGGCCCACACACACACACACACCCCCCCCACCATGCACATGCACCTACAACCCTTTCACACTGCCATACACACAGACCCCCACACCCTCTCACACATACCAGGCACCCTCCCCCACAAACCCCATACCCACCCACATCCTACATATCCACACCCACCTACCCAACTCCCCCACAAACCTATATCCACATCCCAAAATATACAAGTGTAAGACTTCATTTAAGCTATTGTGCAAAAATATTTTTTAATTAACGAATGTTGTAAATGTTCACTTTTTAGAATATAATTTGGTATTTTTCTGGTTCCAAGATGGCAAAACCCCTTGCTGAAAGGAGTACTTCCAGGGGCAAGGGGAGGAACTTCTGGTAGAGGTGGTCAGGGGTTAGGGGGCAGGACTTCTGGTCCCAAGATGGTGATCAGGGGGTGGGGCACCTGTCAAGGGGCATGGCAACCCATTCAGTTCTCAACAGCTTGCCAAAACTCGGTAAGCGGCCCTCCGCCCAAAATAATTGCCTGCCCCTGCTTTACAGACATTAAGCCTATAGAGGCATCACTTCCATTTTATAAGTGGGTACACTAACATAGGTTGTGTGTTCAGTTATACAACTTCACCAAGACTATATAGAAGGATGTAGAGGTGCAAAAACATTGAAATGAAGCAGCCTCTTTCTTTTGAATACAATTCCTCTACTAGAGCAATAAGGCTCGAGCTATCCA